CCTATCTTGCACGCAGTGATATTGCACTTGCCCAAATTGTGCAATTTGCGAAGTGCAAAAAAAGTGCAATATAGAAATGTAACACCCTTAGGTTAATGCCATTAACCTATCATTCTCCGATTAAATGATTTTCCATTAACTTAATGGGAAATCATTGAATCCGTGAGTGACTCCCCTAGATTTGGACAGCGTGAAGCGACTTCACGCTGTACCGAGGACGCTAAGCTTCCTCGTCGCTTCATACCCACAATTGCTCCATGCAGTATTACTACAGCACTGGCTTCATGGGATTCGCAGAGCTAAGATAAGCAAGTGAGATATGCAGAGAATGACCCGGGATTCTAGTAATGGCGTAGGTTGCACAGTGACACGATAAGACCCATGTGAGGGGAAGCCAGTGGCCCACACGATCACGCGTTCACGATCACGCCGTCTCGATTGCGTGTTACACCGAGCGCTGTATGAGAAAAAAGTGCTCGAGTTGAAAACTGCTGAGTTTTAACTGTACGTCTTGGGATACTACCGATTGCGACTGCCGCGGCATGTGTGGTGCGATTGTCTGATATCACCATCGGCTCTTTCTCTCCTTCGCTTTTCGTCTCGCTGAGTCACCTGGGAGGGACAAGCACATCTTCAGGTTGCTGTGATTTGTGCACTAAGGTGGCGTTCACGTGAATCGATCGATTTTTCCGTGACGGAAAACACGCTATACCGCTGGGAAGTTTTCTTTGTTTCACGTCACATCGACTACAAACTTCGAGTTGCACAACACCTTTAGGAAGCATACCAAGTCCAACTCCTGCAATACTATCTGCAGGCTTCGCTCCTCACATGACGATAATCATCCCATTTCTTCTTCTCTCAATCCTACCTTTGGTCAAGTGCTTGGAGGAGGGAACAGTGGAGTTGGCTTTTATGGGTTTCCAGCATAAGTAAGGTGATAATCAGAATAATCAGGTATTATGATGTTTTTGCAGGTTCGGTAAGAATTACGAGTCCAAGGAGGAAGAAGTCAAGAGGAATGCCATCTTTCGAGCCCACCTCCATTACATCGAGCAAGTCAACGCTAAAAGTGAGTAACATCATATCGGCCATAAGCCGAGTGCCGAGCTGCGCAGATCTGTCTTACAAGCTGGGCGTCAATGAGCATGCGGACCTCACACACGAGGAGTTCGCCGCCCTGAAGCTCGGCACAAGCTCAAAGATGAGTATGAAGAGGGATGATAAGTTGGTTGTTAAAGGTAGGACCAGCTGAACATGCCAGCTTGAGCCTCTTTGTGTCAGCTGATACCACACAGCTACTAACCTCAGTGGATTGGAGAAGTAAGGGTGTATTAACCCCGATTAAGGATCAAGGGCCCTGTGGAAGCTGCTGGGCTTTCTCCGCGACTGGTAACTCCCTCGGACATGCATGTGTGTGCCTTTGATTTTCGTGTGTGCCATTTTCAGGTGCTCTTGAGGCGCAGTATGCCATCGCTACGGGTAAGCTCTTGTCACTCTCCGAGCAGCAGCTTATCGATTGTAGTTCCAGCTATGGGAATGAGTAAGTGGCACCACATGCATGTGTTCCTCATTGCAAATTGATGCCATATTCTCTTGCATTTTCTCATTGCATTCTCTTGTGTATACTTCCAGTAGGAAACTTTCACACTATTTTTCTCTCAGGGGTTGTAGCGGAGGACTCATGGAGAATGCTTATACATACATAAAGTCAGCTGGCCTCGATCAAGAGTCAACCTATCCTTATATTGCTAAAAACAACGCCTGTCAAGTCCCTCTTGAGAAACGGTCTGACGGCATCCCGGT